GCACGAGCGCCAGCACTCCCACACAAGGCCGCGGCTTCCCTGGCGCTGCATTCAATAGCAAAGGGCTGAAGTTGCTCACTTACTTCAGCTCCGCAACCAGCACCCTGGGTATTGCTGCTCTCAACCATTTCAATTGCCTTGGCTTGTAGCGTCTCGAGACACATCGCAATTTGTCTCGTCTCGCTTCACAGCTAGTCAGTCTCTGTCATTCCTGGACACCATTGTCACAGCAATTCCTCAGCACTGGCCGGTATTCTGAGATGAATGTCGACAAGCCAGGAGCCAGCTCCTTGTTGGTAGCCAGCCAAAAGCCAACACCCCACGCTGATCAAAGCGAACCATAACCAACGGCGGAGAAGTCGTGCGAGATCAGCCAATCTGATCTCAGGGTGCCTTCGCTGTACCGGCTTCGATTCGACAATCACCCATGGGTGGCCAGCCCATGGGTGGCCTGCCTGCTAGAGCAGTGTCAAACTGTGGTGAGTAACTGACGGATTTTGGTTCAAGAAGGGAGTATTTTCTTGTCATGATCCTAAACATCGTAACACTGCTTTTCGGATAATAGGCCAGCGTTTAGTACTTTACAGTGCTTGGTTGTACCAAATTTTCTTGATAATGTGTTTCGTGTTGGTGGTGCACTAGATTCCTCAGAAGTTTGGCGAATGTGCCAGCAGTTGCTAGACAAATTGAGCCGTTTGAAGTTCAATTGCAACTATCATTTCACATCTTCCCTTATGCCTTTGCTTCATTTGGCTCTTGTGTTCACTCCTTTTCCTATCGGGTACCATTTTAGCGCGCGTGGCGAGTACAATGTCTGGTCATTATTCGGTGATTCCAACACCCTCTCTCCAAGGGCTCAGTGACAATTTGGGCAAGTAGCATTTTGGCAGGGGTATCGTAGCTGTATCAAAGGGCCCCAAAGTGCGACCACCACCGCTTGTCACCGCCTCGTGATGGGCACAAGCGTGCCCATTGGGTGGCCGGCCGTGAAACCAACTGTGAACTTGTGGCTGGGCCATGGCGGCGCCAAGGGAGCGTTCGGGCGGCTGCAGAAGCGTGGGTTGCACGGGTGCGTTCTAGGCACACGACCGTGGGCGCAATCCAGCTGAAATCTTCGCACAAGACACCTAGCTGCCTTGCATTGCGCCCATGAACATGGCGCTGTGGCCAAACGCATGTGGCCATGGCTCGAGGTGGATGGACACCGCGCACAAGCCGGGACAGGAAACCGAACATGTGGCAACATGTCTGTCTGCACGCGTCTTTCAGGGCGCAGCGTTGGCCAGGATTGAGGGCCCTTGGCCCCCGTTATACCCAAACATCTGCCCCGTTTTGGCACAAGCATTCGCAGCCAATTCGCAGCCAATTCGCAGCCAAGGGAAGCGTTGTCGCCTAGAGATGGAGCTGCCAGCAAAACCTAGCCAAGGGCAGGCTGTGAAGCCCGTGCTTCAAGCGAAGGGGCTCAGAGCGCCCTTGCACGAGCAAGCACTCGCTTCGCCAGTGCTCAATGGCACACACCCCAATGAGCAATGGATGCGATTCCGCTCGGTCGCGCGGGTCAGTGTTTCACATCTTCATTCGAGACAGCACGAAATGGCCGCTGCGCTGCACCCCTCCCAAGAGAACCGCGGTTCCTTGCCCTGTGCGCCGCTGCCACCTCCGTCGTACCCAGGCGGATGGACCTCCAGGCCTGGCCCAAGTTCACACCGTACCGCTTCAATCAACCCTGTCACGAATTGATGTGACCGTACTTTTTGTCCATTCGGACAGGTTCCCATTTTCTTGCCAGAATGTCGCTTCCCAAATTGTCACACTCCAAGGCGCCGTTCGAAGATCGGAATTCAAAACCCCTTTCTGCGTGATGGGATGGTTACGTTTAGTAAGCTAGTTTACGGGAGGCCCGAAGATGGGCGGGCGAAAAAATTGCTGCCCCGACTGTGTCCTGTCAGCGGGGCGCCCAGTTTGGGCGGGAACCGTCTAGTTCCAGGGCCCCAAGTGCGGCCACGGTTTTTGGGGCCGGTTTTGGCTTGATCGGGGCCTGTTACCGGCAGCGCCAAGGCCTTAGGAGGCGACGCGCCGTCAGGCTGCACTTTGTTTTCTCGCTCCAACCGCTCTTGGTTGCAGCGAGCCCAGTCCCAATCGGGAACATTGCTTCGATCCTTCCAAAGGATCTGTTGCGCCGAGCCTCCGGCTCGTGTTTTGCACCCCTTCGGAGCTCTCCGGCTATCGCCTCACTCCCCCATGCCCGAGGAGCCCACCCTCAGCCCCGAGGCTTTGGTGGCGGCGCTCCAAGCTCTCCTTACTTGGTCCGCCGGGGCCTCCTCTTCGGCCCCCGCGGAACCCCAGACGGCCGAGGCGATCGCGGCCGCGGCCACCGAAGACTCGTCCCGTCGCCTTGCGGCTTTGGCCCAGCACTTCTGGGCTCCGCAAGATCTCCCGCTCTCCCGGCTCCTGGTCCTCCGCTCGGGCGCCAACATCGACCCCTCTCCACGGAATCCGGTGCCTCGGCCCCCCACGGAGTTCGGCCAGTGGTTCGACGTCCTCGACACCGCCGACGGTCAACATTTGGCCCAGGCCTTGGGCCCCCCATCAGGCTACTTCGCGGAATATGCCAATTGGGCGCCGATCGTCTCATTTTACTACGATCTGCAGCTCCGCCTCATCGCCTTGGCGGAGTGCCCGGAGGTCCCCACCGCCGTCCGTGCGGCCTTCGAGCCCCTCGTCTCCCTCTACGCCAAGTGCACCAACCTCGCAGTCTCTACTTGGCGGTTCGGCGGACGCAGGCTGCCCACGCGAATACGCCCCTCTCCGAGGCATACAAGTCGCTCTAAACCAACATCCAATTGGCGGGATCGGCGACCCGCTACACCACCGACCTCGAGCGCGAGATGACCAACCTGATCCGGGCCCAGATCCAGAAGGCTACTGTCAAGGCGCAGGCGAACGGCGCCGCCCGGGCCCGCCATTCCAGCCGCGGTTCTGGCCGCTCCGGCTCCCATTCGCATGGGGCCTCGGGGCCCGGCCACCGCGGTCGCTCGCGCGGCCACGGTCACGGTTCCGGTCGGGGCCGGGGTGCGCCCCCTGCCTCGGGCAACCCCTTCTCCGATTCATGAGCTCCGAGCGGGAGCTCCTTGCCATCGCTGTGGCCTTGCGCCAGCTGCGCGTTGGCAGCGGCTGTTGTGGAAACACATGGGGTTCGAGAGATTTATGGCCATTAGTCTTGGTTGGTGAGTCATCTGTGGGATTGGACCCATTATTTGGATTCTTTATGATCTCTAGATACTCGTAGGCTCTTTACTTGTCTGAATCCCCTAAGTATGGAGTAGTGTATGGCTTAGGGAAGTCCCTGTACTTAAGGGACAGGCCGTGGGGGCAGACTGGGCTGCGATGTATCGATGGTGGGTCCGATACGGGGGTATGCCGGGCGATACAGTCATGACATGCTGATGTACATTGTAGTGTCTGTGTGACGGGTGGTCAGGCCGGAATGTGGCCGACCACCAGTACGTACGCGGGGGTGCGTTGCTCCCCGCTCTGTTACCCGTTTTGGCTCACTGCCGCGCTCCGCACGGGCCTCGCGGCCCGGGGAGCAAGCTGTCTTGCTACCCGCCGTCTTCGAACGGCAGGGCCACCCGATCCCAGAGCGCAAGAGGGCCCACCGCGCAACGAACAAGCGAGCACCCCGATTACGCCCGCCGGGTTCGGCGGAGGGGGCCATCGGCCCAACCGGGTGCAGGCGGATGAAGTGGGGACAAGCGCGACAAAAAGGGACCCGCGGAGGCTATTAAAAGGGCCCCGCAACAGCGGCAATGCCCCCCGGCAACGATCTTGCCCCCTTGAAAGGGGCCCTACCGCCGGAGGCTCCGCCACCCCGCCCCCCCTCGGGGACCGGGGCGCTTCATCTCCAACCCCGCCGGGCGATCGGCGTTTGGCACCAACTGGGTGCCTCCTCCCTTGTCCTTCGTTGGATCTGGGAGGGTGTCCCGGTTGTTTGGACGAGCCATCCACTGGCTCCGTTCCATCACGGTGTGTGCCGGCTTGCGGGGGCTGCGCTCAAGGCGTGGGAGGCGCTGCGTGACACCTACCTCCAGACGGGCCCCCTCCGCCGCTCCCGCAGCCCCCCGACCCATGTCTCCCGCACTTTCCTTGTTCCGAAGAAGGACGGCGGCTTCCACTTGGTGGTGGACCTGTGTCACATCAACAGCCATACGAGCAAGATCAGCACCAAGTTCGAGACTCTCCGCTCCTTTCTCTCCGCCCTCCGACCGGGTCAGTTCCTTGTGGCGTGGGACATCCGCGACGCATTCCATCATCTCCGGATCGAGGACTGCTCCGTGTCCTTCTTTCAGTTTCAGATCAACGAGGAGCTGTTCGAGGCCCCTGGGTTGACGTTCGGGTAGAAGAATTCCCCCCCCGTCTTCACCAAGCTGATGCACCCGGTGGTGGCGTTTCTCCGTGCCCCCCGCACGAGCGCCCCCCGTCGCCCCCGCCATCCTGCCCTTGCGGCCTACTGGGATGCGAACCCTGCCCCCAGATCGCTCGAGATGGACATTTGGGACCGGAAAAGGCACTCTTTGGACTGCGGGTGATATACCCGTGTTTTGGATACCTGGCAAATACGTGTTTTGTGGGATGGTGACGAATTGGTGTTTTGTTGGTATTGGATCAGGTGGACATTTTGTCACGGTGGTGACGTTCTGAATATGTAATTGTAATTACATGTTCAGCCTGCCATTGGGCGGGAAGATCGCAGGCCTGTACCGTAACTTGTCTGACCGACCACCGCAATCCCAAGCCCCAATATGGCCCCAAGCCCCAATCCGAGGCCGTCATGCGGGTCAGCAACCTGTCAAGGCGCCACGCTCCCCGCCTCCGACGCCCTGCAGGCGTAGGGGGAGCGCTCGCAGTCCACCCGCACGGGCTGCCATGCTCGCCACAAACCCCCTCCAAAACACACGAACGCGCCCAGCTTGCCTTCTCGGGCCCACACTTGCCACCTAATGCCTGCAAGACGACCCACGTCGACCAGGGAGCCACGGCACGACTCGGGTGCCCGAGGATGGAGCAACATGTGGGCATTCCTGCCAGGCATGCTGTTGGGGTTCAAGTCCGCCAGGCTGGAGGCAAAGTACTGCGAGGGGCGAACGAGGGAGTACTTCTTTCGCGTGGACCAGTGGGCGACGCTGTTCCGGGCCGGCGTGCCGCTGCTGCTGGCCTTCCGTGGGGCCACGAATTTTGAAGGTGAAGGCCCTGGGCTGCATCAGAGGATAATTGTGGCGGGAGCGGCGGCCTTCATGTTGTTCGTGGGGTGGATGGCGTACAGTCAAGGGGAGTGGGCCGTGAGGCTCAGGGAGCCGCTGGCGGTGTTCTTGAGAGGTGGGTGCGTTGGCTTGCGATTTGACTTGGTCAAAAGAAGATTTGTTGCAGAGAGGAAAAGCAGGCCACGCAAAGGAACCCTCTTGTGCGGGTGTACCCCGGGGGGAGGGGGGGGGAGGTTGAAAATCGAGGTGGGGTGTGGGGTGTGGGGGGGGTTGGGGTGTGGGGTGGGGTGGGGTGGGTAGAGAAATTGGGAAAAGAGAGACCGACGAGGCGTGACCCCGCCTTTGTTTTTATCCAACTCTTTTGGGAGAATTGGCGCGGTGCGGAGGCAAGGCAAGGCGGATGCCGTTGAGCGCGCGGCAAGTGTCGACGTGGCATCGGGAGACGGGGAGGGGGGGCCGATGGGAGGCCCATGGCGCGCTTGGGCGCTCAGGAGGTCGTACGCAGCGGGTGGGCTGGGAGGGGAGGGACCCAGGGGCGGGACGCGGCGATGCGGGGCGAGGAGAGTTGGCATCTGACGCCTGGGCGCCATTCTCCACACATCGTACGATGGCCGAGCGCGATGGCCGGACGGCGTGGCCCGCCGGGGCCGTCTCGGGGCGCTTCGTGCAAGTGGTCAACGCGGTCAACGCCATGCGCGTTGATCGGCACGAATGCCGGCCCGAGAGGCCCCCCGAGTGGGTTGGCCCGGCCGATGGAGTCGGCGGGGCTCTCTGCGGCGCAGGGGGAGAGCCGATCCGGCACGTGGGACCGCATCGGCGGGAAGCGATGTCCCCGACGGGTTGACTTGAGCGCTGACTTGCGCGTTGACCTGGGCGTTGAGTTGGGGCGCGGCGGGCAGCCTTTGCGTGGGGAGCTCTGGCGTCTCTTTTCTTGGGGGTCCCCTTTTTCTATTTCTTGGACTAAGAAAGAAAGTCGTTTAGACTAAACGAAGGGCGGGGCAGCGGCTGGTCGTTCGGTCCCTTCCCTCCCCCCCTGCCGGTCTGGCTGCTGGTTGGCTGCCTGGGAGACCCCAGAGTTGTAGTGTGTTTCTTTGTTCCTCACATGGATGCATAGACATGACGTCACTGCATCGATCAATGCAGCATACGAATCGCGCGGAGCTGTAAATTGTTGTGAAAACGATTCATGTGCAGGCCACGGGCACGGAGGCGAACCTGCTAGCTTACCCCATCAGCCCTATATGGCAGACAGTGGCGAATTACAATCCCCAACTGTCTTCTGATTGACTCGCCGGGAGGGCCCGGTTGCTGCCTGTTGCGAACGCTCGACATCCAGCCCGCTAATGCTGACAACTGGGTCTGACTGGCAGATTGCCCTCCAAAAAGCAAGCTTGTTTGAAGATCTGGGTTGCTTATTGTTCCAAGCAGTTCTTGGAAAGTCCTCTGCAACAAAAAACTGGGGCAAACTGCGGTGGAGCTGAGCAACTTTCTGTCTGAAAATGCACCCTTGTCACATTTAACACAGCAAAATGTGCAGATCGCTGGAGACAAATAGAAAGAACAAGTGGCAGTGCTGTTGCATTTGTATTCCAAAGTCGCTATGGGTGCCCAAGGGGTAGTTCTCACATTGTGCCTGTTGCACTGGCAGTGCCTTCTCAAAACCTTCTCAATCCTGCAGTGTTCAACAATTTGATGTATTTATGCCCATCATGGCTTCCATCGATGGGATTAGTTCTTTATCCTGTTCTGGCCTCTATTCACGCTCCGTGGGGGACCAGCAGCATACCTCGTCTAACTTTTGCAGCGCTGTGCATGGTCATATGCACCAGACTTGCTTTGGACACGTGTTCTGGTTCTGAGGAATTGAGCAGCAGGATGGTGATAAGATGTGGTTTTGAGGACAGAAACACTGTGCATACAGGCAGGCAGGATATAGGTGCCCATACTGTCATAGCTGCCACCTTCCTGGGACGTCCACCTGTTCACTGCAGCCCCTGAAAAGATATGATGTGACTACTCTATTACGAGAGTAAATATGGACGCACCATGTCGATGTTGTATAAAAAGAACATTTTGAAAGTTTTGAATACTGAAGCAGGTTGGCAAGCGAGCTCTCAATCCCGTGCAATGCAGTCTACTGGCAACTTGTGTCAAACAGACAACAGGCAGCCAACCCTTGATTCTGTGCATCGCAGTTGGCGGGCAGGCAGAGAAGAGCAAATGGGCCACTCGGCGTTCCGGCTGGGCTCCACCTCCATCCAAGTGTTGTGACTGTCTGATATCGTAGCGCTCTGAGATTGATCTTGTGTTGGCCAACACAAACAGCAGAACCAGAGCGTTGCGCTGAAGCACTGGAATGTGCCTGCAGTCACCGTAATCCCCTTAACGGTCATCACCTCCTTCCAAGACACCATGAGGCTGTCCTCACCTCCCAACTGGATCAACTTCCTCTTGTGCAGCTGGCTGGTCACCGGCTTGTCGGTAGCTTCCACCTTCCCCGTTGCCATGCCGATGCACTTCAAGCACCACGTTCCAGTCACCTTCGCCTTCGTGTGGCTGATGCTGACCTTTCAGGTACGCATCCATGCTGCAGTTTGTTTTTCCAAATTTAGTACATTATTCTAATAGTTGCCCTCCATCTGTTCTGCCCCTCATTATTAGTTATTGAAACATTGTGACGATTAACGAGGTAGAAGAATAATTTGTGCTCCGCGTTCTCCAGGTGTCGCAGTTCTGTCAGGTTGTGGAGGGGCGGAGCGACATGCACGACTACGTGCTGGGCAGCTGGAGGGCTTTGTCGGCCAGGTGCGCTGAAGTGGTGGAGTAAAGTATGGGAGAGTCGAAGTGTTGCAGTGGGGTATTGAAGAGCTGAAGTTCTGCCCTTGAGTTCTGGGGGTCGAAGCGCCGTGCTGAAAAAGTGTGGGGACGTGAGATGGCAATGTCTGAAGCCCGTGTTCATATGAATGCTGATCATTACTGCTTGTTACTGGAGCATTCATTAGCAGTTGATATCCATTAACTACTATTGTGGGCACTAAACATCACTTGAAGAGTATCATGTTTCTTTTTGGATTGCGACATGTCCACAGGGGTTGCTACAAAGGCATGGGGGGATGTTCCCTTTTGCCAGCCTTATGAGGCGCTTGCAGGTCGCTGGAAAACTAGTTTAGGGAACTTGGGAGCTAGTTCAGGAAGCTAGACAACTAATCTGGGGAACGTTGTTTTGGGAAATTATGTTAGGCAGGGGTATGCTGCTGTCCCATCACTGCAGTTCGGGTCAGGCGCGTGCACATGACACATGTGCCTCACAGTGCATGTGAGAATGCCGTCATTGACAGAGAGCACATATGTAAGTAGATGACATTTAGCAGCAGTGTAATGGTAATAGTAACAGCATTGGACACAGCTTCTTGCATTTAGGTAATAGCTAGATTGTTGGTATGTGCAGCGTAATGTGTGCACGTCCTCGCCGTCCCGGCAGGGCTTGGAGCATCCTGGACATATGGGCGCCCGAGATGCCAGCGACCCACAAATCTGCTGCATCCACGGGCATGAGACTCAATGCATAATCTGCGTGCACGCAATTTTGTGTCTGGTTTACACAAAGTACTTCCTCTGTCAATGAGATTTCGTCCTGACCTGTATTTGTGAGCTTGGAGTATACGGTCAAAAAATCAAGTCAATCCGTTGCCTATTGCGGATTTGGCAGGGATTTGTAGCAAGGGTCCTCTGCCTAGTAAACTGCGAACTTTTCGCTCAAAAATAATATTCTCGATTTATTATAGAATAAATATTTCTCTCCGCCTAGCGCTCAAAGGGGTCGGGCCCCACTTCTTCTTCTCCTTGAAAATGGACAGTTGATGGTTTTGGGACCCAGTCATTCCTGACCTACTTTTGTAATTTTGAGGCGGGCCTTGCAACCAATATTGCCTTTCAAATAGAGGGCATTCAATATGGGACAGAGGAAGTACTTCGTAGTGCAATGCACTTCGTGCAATATGTAAGCGTTCCCTTTGATTGGGTGTTTCTTGAAGCTTGATGCGAGCAAATGTTTGTGCTTCATCTGCAGGGCATGGAACATCCTGAGCGCGGTGTACATTATGGACGCCCATGACGCCACGCAGCCGCCCATATACTCCGCCTGCAACCACCTTTACACATTTTTGCTCCTGTACTTTGGCTTAGCACTGCCGACATACGGCGTGTGGGCGCTAGAGCGCCAGTCCCGCGCATTTTTTCTGTCTGAGCAGAGGCAGGAAGGCACGCTGACCAAGGCAGAAAGTCAACGGGAAAGTCAACAACTGTCGTTGACCCGGGCGGCCGTCCTCATGCACTGCGGGCTGCTAGCAGTGCTGTATGCGGTGGGCTGGGAGGCCACGGCGTGGTGGCTCGTGGGCGGGGTGGAGCAGAGATTAGTAAGCCACTGGGAGGTTTAGTGGTGCACGATGGGGAGGTTAGTAATCTGTGAATAGGATCGGTAAACTGTGGCAAGATTAGTAACCTGTGGGGTTGGAGATCAGTGGGGGATAGAGAGAATCGGTGTTCACCGATTATTGATGCGGGGGGTGGGGGTGGGGATGAAAGTCGTGGATACAGTCGGTGGCAGCTAAAGTATTGGGTGAGGGCGGTGGTTGTGACGCCGCTGAAGTACGGAGCTGGGGTCGCAATTGTCCGTGAGGGCATTGCCGCTGACTTTATCAACGGCCCCACGTGGACATGGCCGACTAACGTTGACACGGTCAACGATACTCCGCCTGACAACCCTTTTCATTGCCATTGAGGCTGAAGACTCATTCGGATATGGCTCGGATATGCATGGCTCGGATATTCGGATACCGACTCATTCGGACTTGAGGCGGAGACTGTTCAGTTGGGAGGGTGGGCGGGTGGGGGGATGGGGGGGGTGGGGAGGGGGCTTGCGTTGTTGCTTCCAGGATTTGGTTTAGGAAGGTGTCGCGTTCGCGGAGGTTGGTAATTGGAATCGAGTGAGGGGCGCGGCGAATTTTGATATTCGACAATTCAAGACTGAGAATTGAATTTTGTGCAACCACGGGGCGGTCTCGCGGCGCTGTTGCACAGCTGCCGCGAGTGCACGAGATATCGTCTCTCGGCGACCCATCTGTGGATATCTCTCGGCTCGACATATCTTGCGGCGTTGTAGCTGGGGGGCGAGCCCACACCAAGACTGGCTAGCTAGGCTCTGGCTTGTGCTTATGTCACTGGTTGTTGCCAACAGTTTCTAAAACTAGCGAGTGGAGAATCCTTCAAATGTTGCAGCCAGCGACAAATTTGTAACGCTTTACCAAAACTTGTCAATGAAGAATGATTGATTGTTGCAACCAGCAAACACTTCTGCAGCCTGCTCGCAGTGCTGTAGGGTGCTGTGTGGTGTTCATGCTGGGTGAGCGAAAGCTGTGTTGGTCTTTACGTTTACGGCACATTTGTGCGTTTTGCGTTCTTACACAGAAACAGAGACTGCTTTATTTACGTATTTCCATGGCGCGCTTGGGTCATTCAGGTGACATGATGAAGTCGCAAACACTGATCAGTCTTCCGCACTCTCGATCAACCGCAACATAGCGTCCACCTCGCCCTGGGCAAAGGCAGAGACGTTGTCGAGCAAAATGTCCCTTCTGCTCTCACCACCGCGTCAGGTTGCCACTCCCTGGGCTCGCTGAGTCTGCACGCGTACTGTCTTTGTGAACACAGGGCCTGTGCGTATTTTGCGCTTCTGTGCGTGCAAAATGCCCTCTTTACGTGCAAATGCATGTAAATACACCGAGTTTGCGCTGTGGAGACTGGGCCTGCACAAAAGGTTGATGCGTGGCGCCTGGCCCCCTTGCTCAACTGACACGCTGCCGGAAAGCACTTGTGCTCCTGCTCATGGTGTAGCCCCAGCTGTGGAAGCCTTAAATTGGAAATGGGGCCCAACAAATGCCGCGTATTTGTTGTTCGCGTTGCTCGCATTACCATGCCCCGTTCATTCTTCAATTAGCGTATGCATCTCAAACCGTAATGGATTCGAGATAATTTAGTTCCTTCGTCAGGAAAGTGACGAACCGCTACTATCGCACATCAGAACCAACGGGTATTGTTTTGCACAATGACTTACGTTGTTTGACGACGCCGTGAGGCAGAAATAGTTCCATTGTGGGGTTGTTGGAAATTTTGTGTGCTCCATTGCCCGACGCCAGTTCTGACCTATTTGCCACAAAGTCGGGCCCCATGTCCCCATCGGGAACATAAGGCAACGAGCGACTTTTCGAGCCGCCAAAGCACAGAAGGGAATTCTACATTTACATTTCCATTTATTTTCAATGTGAACTCTTCAATTACATTCTTCAGGGATGCATAGACAGCGCACGCCACCAAAAAGGATAGCGGCTCTCCCAGTACATCAGCTTCCCGAAAAATCGACGTACTTTATTCACGCTGTGCTGAACGTCTCTCAACATAAAATGTTGTAAACAAAAAGAATCGGTGTATTTTATTCCCGCTGCGTTTGATATCTACAAGTATCAGACGCGCATTGCACTACCAGCATCCCGCGATCGCCATCGCCATCAGTTCAAGTCATATCGCCTACTGCGTCGTCGCTATTGCGTCATTCCGCCGTTGTGTCGTCATCACTTCCGCCAACCCCTCGGATCAAATGTGCCCTTCGACAACGGCAGTGTCGTGACGACAATTCCATCCACGCTCCGGACCCCGAGGCCAGCCAGTCAACCAGAGGCACCCGCCCCCAGTTGTCACACAGTTTCCCACCGCTCACAGTTTTCTCGCTGGTCACACAATTTCCCGCTGGTCACACTATTTTTGTTGGCCACAGTGTCGCTACAGTCTCGTGTTCTCAGTTCCCCCATCCGCGCAGTCGGAGTCTTTGAGGAGCATTCGGTGCCGATGCTCAACCGTCAGTAATCGCCATGGACCAGTGCCGATGGCCATGGGTCATTAGCGATCGTCGTCGTCGTCGTCGTCGTCGGACCTCGACCTTCTGGTCGAGGGGGAGGGAGGCGACAGGGTGGAAGCGGCAGCGAAGCGGCGGTTTCTGACGCCGGCTACACAAAGGCACACGAGCCGTTCAGGGGACAGGATACCAGTACTTGGATACCAGCAGGATATCAGTACTTGGTATCGATGGTATATCGGTACAAAGCATAGGCAATGCATCGGTAACTGGCATCAATAATGTATTGGTATATGGTAGTGGTATCTGGTATCGGTAATATCGGAACCACGGCATTGGCAATGGCGAAGTGATGATACAAAGATGATCAGAACAATACTGAGTATGGGAGCAAGGAGGGAATTATCAAGCGGTAACGCGATATGAGGCTTTTCATAGTGAAAAACGGATATGACGCACATGTGATATGTTATGTTGAAATGTGCATGGGGACAATGGGAATATGAGATGAGCACGCTTGCAGTGAGCGTTATTCAGCTATTACATTCACCCTGTAATGCACGTGGTCACGATCTTGCTTCCGTGCCTGGGAGCAACCACCCGCCGAGGGCGCGAGACGACTGAAGCACATGGTGAAACGTTTTTACGCGTAAAAAACAGTTTTTAAGGTTTTACGCGTAACAACATTTTTTACGTTTCTACGCGTAAAAATGCGTAAAAATACGCAAATACAACGTAAATACTGCCGGGTGTACATAAGGACAGTACATACAGATTTACAGAGTTCGGGGAGTGGCATCCAGACGCCTTGGAACAGACAGAAAACGATTTTTTGTTAAACGCCATGATCGCCCTTGCCAAGGGCGAGGTGCACATTGTGTTACGGGTGCTGGAGATGGCGGAAGAGTGATCATTGTACGCAACTTTTGTCGTGTAAACTACGTGTGCCAGGGAGCCGTAAAAATGTAAAAATAGCCGTAAAAATAGGCTCCTTTGGAAATTTACGTTTTTGCACGTAAAAACGTAAAAGTAAAAACGTAAACGTAAAGGTAAAAGCCAAGCCTGTATGCTACGTTCGCCTTCTGTTGAAACAACAAATTGTTGGTCCTTGTCTGCATTCCTCAATGACCATACGTATTATGATTCCAAGGAAATGGGATGGTCAGGCCTACCCACGGCGCGTTGCTGATCATCGATTTGAGACCAACTGGCCCAAGAGACCAAAGAGCAGGGGCAATTCGCGCACAAGATAGTGAGAAAAACGGACAGTGCATTGCACAACAGTACAGTAAAAGCAAAACCGGATTGCCAGAAATGCAAGAATGAACAACTTCTGCCTTCGACGTGGCAACTCGACCCCGCATCGTATACGTATACGGGATATAAACATTCTGGGGCGTATGCCATGCAGGCTAGGGAAATGCGGACGCGCTTATTTTTTGCCAAATGCACGTATTATTGCGTACTCCTATTTTGCCCCAACCGTAATTCCCAAGCCTGATACCAAGGGTGGAAAGGGCATGTTTTCGATACCGACGGCGGTGCCATTTGACACAAAGCAGCGCCGTACCAGCGATTGTGATGATATAGAAGTGGCTTCGATGGCATCAATTTGTGTCAAACGACATCTTGGCTACCGTCGCGAATGGACTCTTTTCTACTGGTGTACCCGCCATCGCCTACAAGGTCCAGTGTCACCGCTTTGCCTTGTCGAAGGCAAATTTGAGGGTAACATTTCAACCCCTTTTCAGCAATGCAGGATAGGAGCGCGGGGGCAAACCCACTCACAGAATATGAGCATCCTCCTGGCCGGGAGCGCTGACGCGGCGTCCGCGGCCATGAGCACCTCGCCTGCACGCACACGCACACATGGATCAGCATGGGGCGGGATGCGCAGCCGGATCCGCATGGATCCCTGTGGCGCGGATTCGACGCCGAAATTCAGGAGGCCCTGCGGCCGCTCGCGGCGGCCGGCCCCCAGGGGCGAGGCGCGCCCGTCGCCCCATCTCTCACATCCATGCCCCTCGGAAGACCAATCCATGGTCGAGATTCCACACCTCCCCCCCCTCCCCGCCCTTCCCCGGCTCTACACCGTAGTTTCATCGTGGCACAGAGCCCCACGCGCACTCGGGGGCACCCTTGTGGATGGCATGTTTTCAGTTAGACGCGCAAAACACCTTTCTTGGCTCCGGAACAAAGGGAGCACTGTTGGGGCCTGCCTATTATCCCCACCCGCGACCAGGTTGCTTTCCATCGCGCTGTTTTGGGCTGCAGCATGTGTGGCGGGGGGGGCGTGGCTGGAATTGCCACAAGGTATTAATTGACCGCTGGTGCGTCCCCCACGGAGCCAGCGACCCGCCTATATGCGTAGCAGAGACTCGCCATATACGGTGGCCTGTCCCGACGCGTGCGTTCTCCAGCGTCCGCCGCATCGCGCGCACCCGTCCACGCGCCCTGTCATGCGATAGTCTCCCACAGGAATCCTGTGACTCCCCGCGACAGGTGTCCTGTCACAGCTCCCCACAGCCA